CACCTTTATATTGTTGAGCAATTGATGGTACAAGCATCGGTTGAAAAATATGAAATAAATAACGCCGAGCACGTCCAGGAGATGCACCCCAAAGTCCACCTACTATAGGTAATCTATGATACTTATGGTCACGTGCAATATAAAAGAAATTCTTTCTCTGTTTATCAGATAACCACATATCAATAGTTTCAGTTTCACGTTTCATAATAGGTGAATCAAGGTCACGTGAAAGAAAATAATCAACAAATGGATCAAATATTGGTAAAAAACGCCACATCTTTCCTGGTAAATATGAAACTAATGATGAACCAAACATAGGTATATTGTGTATATCACATATATCAATATTTGAAAAATTATAAAGAAAATTCTGTTGAGATTTAGTACTACCAGTAAAATCAATATAGAGACGAATAATCCACGATGGAAGAAGTAATTTAACTTCATTAGCAAGTGGTATTAGAAATGGAAATATAGATGTTTCCCATGCAAACATTGCATTATCAGTATAATTTGATGTTGATCCATAAATTGAAATACTAATTACTTTTTGATTTGGTCCACGATGATCTGATTGAAAACTACATAATGATCGGTTCCATTGCGTGAAATTTTCATAAGTATAACTTTGTTTTTCTTCTGAAGAATTCGATGGTTTTACTTTCGGAGAAATCAAAGGTTTTATTGTTACTGAAACATAAGATTTAATATTATTCATTTCCGTATACTGACGTGTTAAAAATAAGAAAAAGTCAATAAGAAAATAAGTTATTAGAAGTCCAACAATAAAAAACTTTGTTAAAGAAAAATATCTTCGTCCACATAAATGATGATAGTGGCTGTTGACCATATTAATTTATGTTGCTATCAATTTTGCTGCGCATATTATCGGTGCACGAAAAATGCAATGATGTGTGACTTTCATCAACGCAAAAAAAAAGCACTCGTTTTTTTAATATGGATGCATTTACACTTCTGTTGTAGGCTTCAATGTACACCACCAATGTATATATATTAGATAAGGAAAAAGAACGTTTTTTTAATAAGTTTATATTTGTTACTGTATTGATGATAATTTTTCATTACTATTGTACGTAGTTTGTTAAAATCAAAAATATATATTTGAGTAGTAGAAGTGACTGTTCAAGGTGTTTTTGTATTGTATTTTTTTCATTTCACGAAATTCAAATTTCGAAGTTTCTATTTATTATGTACAAATATTCAGGGTTGTATGGTAATTGATCAATGTCAATTTATTTTATTGAGAAATATCTACATATATTTTTTGTTCAGATGAAAACGAACGATGTCATAAGCTAAGGTTTCATGATTGTATTGATAACAACAAGTGATTATTAAAAATACAATATTTCGGCAACAACAAGCTATTAGCCTGAACTCTTTTCAGGGTATTTATAGGTCATTAGAAATCACATGATACATATAGATCTGACTCAAAAGTTGTTTGACACTTACAAATGGTCCTTCGTATGTTGATCTTCGTAGGAATTTATGCATTCATCTATTTTTTTTTAGTTCCTATGTCCAACCGAAAAAAGCGTGATAACTACGTTGCATATGTTATTCAGGAGTATAATCAGGTAGCATTATTCTAATCAGAAGGCTTTACAATATATTTTACTCGAGAAAAGTTAAAATGACATATTTTCAGTTGAGGAAGATTTGCTTTTTGTCTAACCCTTTGACAACGTACTTAGCTTTAGAATAAATAAAGTACAGATATATTGTTCACATGATGTACTTTGAAAATTATTGACGATTATAAGTCTTGCATTTAGACTTGATTTAAAGATGCAATGCTATCACCAGTGACATCGATGTCAAAGCACAACAAATATTGAAAAGATCTATTCTACTATATTTTGGCTTCGTCGTTAAAGGATTAATATCAACCTTTTGATTTACAATTAGAGATACAATGAATCGTATGATACAGTTAATCATGAAAATCTTTTCTCTTTTTCATTTAAACGAAATTAAGATTTCGGTAGTAAGACATTGATTGTGTTCTCTGAATGAAAAAAGTTACAACGAATCGAAGAAATGAATTTTTTGTTTTTTATTGTAATATGTAAATCTTTTCGTGGCAAGAAATTGATTTTTCTTTGCTGTATCATAGTTTTACGTTAAGTGTTATTAAAGAAAAACAAGACACATTCACAACGAAATTTTTTTTTGTCAATAAGCAAAATAAACGGTTAATGATATTAATTATTGTTATTTCTCTTATGATGATTTTTCTTCTTTCATAATGACTCAAGTATTCTCTCGATACCCTATTATATTGTTGTATATCTCCGAATGAAAGGTACATAGAAAAGCAGATAGAAGTAAATCATGAAATATTTTTACACATAAATTCAAATTGAGTATCTAATAATTTCGAAACGTCATATTTCATTAAATTGAAATATAGATTATCAATTATTTTATATTCATATTACTAAATTGAATATTATCAATTGTAATTACGTATTCAGACATAAATGAGAAAGATCAGTTTTAGATAATGTCATCTTTTACAATTGATAATTATCTATAATAAAACATAATTTTCTAAATTTTTCTTTATATATGATTGATTGGTAATATTTTTAAAAAAGAAAAACAAAGAGAAATTTTTTTGATTTATTCTAATAAATAGAATTGATTTTATATACTAGACATCAATAATCTAACTATCAAAAAATAATCAATACCAATGGGAAAATATAAAAATTAATCGGAAATAATGTAATTGAATTTGTTGAAAAATTGTAAATCGATTGAATTTCAAAATCTAAATCATAACTGACATGTTCTAAATTATAATTAACCAGTTGTCGCTCAAAATCAATTCAGAAAATAATTGACATTGACAGCATATAATATAAGATATGAACCTTTATACTAAACTAAATAGAACAGAAAATGACTTTTCTTGACATGCTACAGATGTGTATATATATATATACATTCATCGAAATTTAGCAACTGACATCACTATGATAACTTGATATATGTGGTAAAAGTATAATATATCAATTGTTGTATCTGCTTATAACTTCCATTTTTTTCTTCTAAGAATTATTTTCTATGTTTATTGAATGTTGTAATCAAATTATCCTGTGTTACAATATAAGAAAAAAAGAAAATTTTATTATATTCATATTTTATTGAATTAAATATATAAATAAACAATTTTATATTGAATCAAATAATTGTTAATAAACAAGATAAATAAATACAAGAACTGATAAATACTTATTATTTAATCAATTTCCAATAAATCGATACATATTAAATAGATTGAAATGAAGACTTTTCTTCAATACTATTTAACAATCTTCTGTACGTTTTTTTTCTCTTTTTGAAATTTAAAAATGATTATATAATTATTTAGTTGATCAATGAAGAATTGTGTTATAATATTCATTATTACCATCATTTCTACATAGAATACGATATCATCTGTAGCTACTTTAGCCTTGGTTCGTAACACACATAAAAAATACATTCATTTGAATAATTGAATATCATCTCATATCACCCTGGGGAGGGGCTTTGAAGGGTAGGTGTTCGATGAATCAAATTTTATTCACCGAACACCTACCCTTCAAAACCCCTCCCCGGGGTGATATGTGTTTACTAGCATAACCTTGAAAACAAGGTTCAGAACGCGATGTCGATTTACCTCTAACTACACTGTTGTAAATAAGAATATATTCACTTATAAGGCGATTCATTACTTGGTGATTTACTTCTGTGGATACTTATCTATCACCATCAATCTTTCATTTACGAACATAAGTTTAAAAAAAAAAATTAATGACAAAATCCAAAACGAAGATAAATCGATTCATTTACAATATGTTATCATATCCTATGAAAATAATTTATTAGACGAATTCTATAATAGTATTACGTCTATTTCATTCGTTTGATTTGTTTTTACTTATAGTTTCGATTGATAACCAAAACTATAACAAACAAAATAGTTTTACAATGCATACAAAGCTTTTCGATATTTTATATAAAACAAAAAAGTAATCGAAAAATATCTATGTAATTCACTTTTTTTTACTTTTTGATTTCATGAATCAATATAATAAAATCTGTTTTTTCATTCTAATTAAAATCAAACAAAAATAAAAAAAAATTATCAAAAGATGACGCTATATATCAACGATTATTTTGTTGATCCAATCATCAACACATAATTATGGCAGTCGGATCAACCAACCGAAGAAATGTCAAAACGGGTCAACAACATCTACTATAGATTTAGATTACATCCAATAGATTGTCTACATTGAATATTAATAGTTTCAATAAATTTAATTTTTTGCTTAAAAATCAATAAATAATATTATATATTATTTTTAGATTTCTCAACGACAATGATTGATGGTATTCAGCCATCTTTGTCATCGTCAACAAATCGAACTATATATAAATAATATTAAAATCAATGTCGAAAGCATATAATTTCGATTGGCAAATTGAAGTATCACCTCGCCTACTTAAAGGCGATTATTTCGATCGTTGGGATGAAGAAAATGGAACATTAGAACAAAATTGTTTATTTCGTGTTGATAGTTATGGTTTCTTCATCTATTGGCAAAGTGAAGGACGTGATGGACAAGTTATTGAATTATCACAAGTTAGTGATATACGACCAGGAAAAGGTATTTGATTTAAGAAATTTTTAATTATTTAGTTTTCTTTTTTTTTTTTTTTTTTTATTAATTTATTTCAGCTCCATCTGATCAGAAAATTGGTGCTGATCTTATGGCTAATGCACTTATGTATGGTCGAGGTAATATTGATGAACGAACAGTAACTATTTGTAGTGGTATTGATTTTGTACAAATAAGTTATACAAATATAACCGGTGCCGATCCAGCTACAGCAAAAGTAATAATCAAAACAAAAACAATATTCAAATATAAATTTTTTTTTTCTCTTAGGCATGGATCGAAGGTTTAAGGAAAATAACACATAATCATAAAGCAAATAATATATGTCCTACAACCATTTTACGAAAACAGTAAGAATTTATATTTTAATATAATAATAAAATTGTTTTTTTTTTACCTTTGTTTAGTTGGATGAAATTATCATTTATGTTAAATGTTAATCAAAAAATTCCCGTTCGAAGGTAAGGATAATATTAATATAAAACATCATTAAATATGATTTCTTTTTTTAGTATTAGTAAAACTTTTGCATCTGGTAAAACAGAAAAACGTATATTTGAAATTTTAAAAGAACTTGGTTTACCAAGTGGAAAAGTAAAATTATCAATCAAAAGAAACTTTTCTTTTTAATTTTTCTTTCTTCATAAAATTTAGAATGATGACATCGATCCAACTGATTTTACATTTGAAAAATTTTGTGATCTGTATCATAAAATTTGTCCACGTACGGATATAGCTGCATTATTTGATGAATTATCAGATGGTAAAGATTATATAACAACAAAACTATTTGTTGATTGGCTTAATGAAACACAACGTGATCCACGTTTAAATGAAATTCTTTTCCCATTTTATGATACGAAGAGTGCATTACGTATTATTGATCGATATGAATTACGTGCTAATTATCGAGATCGTGGTCATTTATCATGTGATGGTTTAACACGGTATTTAATGTCGGATGAAAATGCACCAGTTTTTCTTGATCGATTAGAAGTTTATCATGATATGGAACAACCATTATGTCATTATTTAATAAATTCATCACATAACACATATTTACAAGGACGACAATTTGGTGGTAAATCATCTGTTGAAATGTATAGACAAGTATTATTAGCTGGATGTCGTTGTATTGAATTAGATTGTTGGGATGGTAAAAATGATTCCGAACCAATAATAACACATGGTAAAGCAATGTGTTCAGATATTAATTTTAAAGAAGTTATTTATGCTATACGAGATACAGCATTTGTAACAAGTGATTATCCAGTTATACTTTCATTTGAAAATCATTGTTCAAGACCGCAACAATTTAAATTAGCACAATATTGTGAAGAAATACTTGGGGATTTTTTATTAACAACACCATTAGATAGTCATCCAGTAAGTAGAAAAAAGTATTTTGTTTTTTGGAAGTGGATTTTTCTCTTTTCTGTTTTAATTATTAGAATGATAGAAAAAAAAGAAAAGAGTAATTTATTGAAACGAAATTTTTTTTTGTGCTCTTATTTTTTTTTTTGTTGATAAACTAATAGTGTTTTCTTTTTTTTTGGCTTATTTTACTTAATTTGATTGAGTTAAATATGATGATAATTTATTTTATTCATTTATTTACTTATTTTTTTTTCATGAATTTTAGCTTGAACCTGGTGTGCTTTTACCACCACCAAATTTATTAAAAAGAAAAATTCTTATTAAAAATAAACGATTAAAACCAGAAGTTGAAAAACGTAATATTTCAATTGATTAGTTTTCTTCATTATTTTTTTATCATCTTTTGTTTTTCTTATAGATCAACTTCATTTATTTCTCGAAGGTTTTGATACAGAAATCAATAATGAAAATGATTTAGATTCAGCAGCTAATGTCGAAGGTGAAGATGGTCCACCAAATATTGATAGTATTAAATTACGTGATGATGATGATGAAGCTCATCCTGAATTAAATGTTGATATTAATGATGATGCTAATCGACGTACATTATTAAGTCAAATAATGAAATTTAAAGGATCAGCAAATTTATCACGTGAAGAAGAAGAAGCATTTTATAATGGTTATCAACATAAAGGTGCAACAACAAATATACATCCATTATTATCATCACGTGTTAATTATACCCAACCAATAAAATTTCCTGGTTTTGCTAAAGCTGAAGAACGTAATATACATTATCATATGTCATCATTTTCTGAAAATGTTGCTTTACAACATTTAAAACAAAATCCCATTGAATTTGTTAATTATAATAAACGACAATTATCACGAGTATATCCTAAAGGTGGACGTGTCGATTCATCAAATTATATGCCCCAAATTTTTTGGAATGCTGGTTGTCAAATGGTTTCATTAAATTTTCAAACACCTGATCTTCCAATGCAATTAAATTTAGGAAAATTTGAATATAATGGAAATTGTGGGTAAGTTATAGAATCAAATTTCATCTTATGCAAAATATTAGATATAATTAGTTTTTTGGATTTATATATGTATATAAATATGTATATATATATATATATATATATATATATGTAGCAAGAGAATGTGTAAGAAAAAAAAACAAAGAACAGGTGGTAAATATTCCATAAAAGATTTTGTACTGTCTTATTTTGAAGGTCATATCTTCTATGCATCTGTTTATTATTAATATACTGACATATTAATGGAAATAGCGACTAATCTAGTTGTCTGATTTATTTACAAAGGAGAAGAAGAAGAAGAAGAAGAAAAAACAAAATGAGATAAAAAAACAACAAGAATAGAATAAAATAACATTTAGCTTGAAGTAGTATTTGTATTTATCATAGATTGCATTTCTTTTTGATGCTGTGCAATAATAATAGCTATTGCTCTTCTATAGACATAGATGAATTAATTATGATTGGTAATGATGACCAAAATATATTATTATTTTCTATAAATGTTTTGTAATTTAGTATAGATTGTATTTCTTTTTTATGGTAAATAAGATGATATAACATGATTAATTGTAATAACATAAATTTGTCCTTGAAGAAGATATTTATTCATAACATGTGAACATGTCATTAAATTTTGCTAATTGAAGACTTGTTTTATATGTACTACGTAATTTTGTTTGTGTATTCAAGCTAACATTGTATTTGATATCATTATTAAAACTAATATGAAAATGATAAATGACTTAAAAAATTAATTATATAAATATTTAATTCATGAAATTTGATCGAGTAATATTAAATAATTGATTACTTTTATTGATCGATTTGATTTTCCTCATTATAAAATGTCTAATGTTAATAAATCTTCGAAAGTTTCTAACAGATGTTAATTCTTTATCATCTGAATGATAAACAAGAACATTAAATACATTTACATATGAATATAACCATCATCACATTCTATTAATGACAATACATTACGATTGATTTCACGAGCATGTGTTATTTCATTTCGATCAAGAGTATATATAACTGTCCTTGCGATACCAAAAAAATGCATAAACAATATATCATACATAAAAATACCAAAATAATCCTGTGGAGATTTATTATAACCTCATTTTTATTCATTTTCGGATAATCAATTCAGATAAACATCTCTATTATCAAGAATATTGTACCAATAGATATCCAATAACTCAACAATTTTATTCTAAATATTCTTTGGCTATCAATGGATATAAAGCTATATTCAGTGTTATCTAGATAAAAGAAAAAAAATTTTGTTTTTGAGAAACTCGATCTACGAGGAAAGCTATATGTTGATGATACTATTTATGACTTGTTTTGATCTTGCATGATTTATTGATGTCATTGTTAGAATAGTGAATTAGATGAAATGAAAATATGAGTACAAAAAATTATAGAATAAACATAGCGGCAAAAACATTTTTTTTTCCATAATATTGATTTTGACGTAAATATCATGTGATATCTTAAGAGTATAGTTTCCTTTTTTTTTTCAAAGATATTTATGATGACTGTCAATGTTAATAATCGAACCTAATAATGTTCTTATTTCCATAAGAAAAAGAAATTCCTTGAAAAAAAAAAAG